CAATCTACTTCTGTAAAGATTTGCCACCTTAGGAACCCAGTGAGGGGTTGCTATGAGTTGGAATTGACTTGATGGCAGTGAGTTTGGGTTTTTGGTTTTAATGAATCCTTAATAAGTTTATGTATGCATTGAAAAAAATCCCTCTTTGTTGTTTTTGTAACTTGTTTACCCCGACCCCTCCTTGGGTTTCTGAGGTAGTATCACTATGGAAGCAGATTGCCCAACCTTCCTTCCGAGGAGTGGCTGGTGGGTTTGAACCACCAGGCTTCTGGTTAGCAATCAAGTACCATAGGCACTACGCCACATAGAAATGAATATATATATTAAAAACTAACACAGCAGAATGTTTTATGAACATCATCCATTGGGAAGATAGGTAACTAAATGATCTGACTGTCTGGTTCTCTGTCAAGGGGCAAATAACAGGAGAGGGTCTCTGTTGAATGGCAGAAGACAAAAAATCTGGAATCTGCTTGTTTCTTTGTGTTTGATGATTAATATGAAGTCATTTAATCCTTACAGTCCTTATTATGATCCCCATTTTAGACATGAAGAAAGTGGAACTCAGGGAGGGAAGTCACTTGCCAAAGGTCACACAGTTGAGAGGTGGCAGAAGTGGGATTCAAGCCTAGTGCATCAAAGAGTAGTGCATGCCTTAGGAAGAAGGAAGGGGCTGGGGATGTTAAGCTGCAGAAGGGAAGGCACATAGGGGTGGAGATGGGAAGTAAGAGAGCAGAGTGAATCCTTGGGGTCTTCAAGGTGAGGCTGAAGGCATTGTCGGGATACCAATTACAGCTCAGCTTTCCTGAGCAGCCAAAGCTTTCCTGACCTGCAGTGGCAGAGCTGCTTGAAATCAGTAGTGAGCTCCCTGTTAGCACAGGTGTGCGAGCCAAAGCTGGGTGTTCCCCTAGTGGGAAGGTGCCCTGAAGAGAGAATTCTGACATCAGAATCAAGAAGATTTGAACCTGACTTGAAATTCAGGGACTGAAGATGAGAACTGTGGGGCCAGGTATGGAGGTATCAGTGAGAGCAGGTGGCCTGGCCCTTCATTAGTACAACTTCCTGAAGTCTCTTCTGAGCTAGTCCTGTGCTAGGCAGGTACAGAGAAAAAAAAATCAGCATTCAGAGACAGGCTGTGGCCCAAAGCACCTTCCACTGTGACCTGGGAAACTGGTGGATGCAGAAACTTCCATGAAAGAGGAAAGTACAGGATGACTTGGGGAGAACTGTCTGAGTCAGGTATTGGAGGGTCCGCGAACCCTCACCAGTTAGAGAGGGAGCAGGGCATTCCTGGCAGAGGTAACGGCATGCTCAGAGGCTTGCTGGGGGAAAGTCTGCACATGTTGGGGGGAGTTTGGTATGATGCCAAGCTGAGGGACGCAGTGGCAGAGGAGGGAACTTTAGGAACCAAGGTGCAGGGGGTCTGGACTCTGCCTGGAAACAGAGGGAGATGGTAGAGTTTGCAGAGCAGGCCTGTGACAAAGTCAGACCTCTGCAGCTACTGCTGTGGTGGGGCCAAGAGGGGAGAGGCTGCGGCTGGGAGACAAGGCGGTTGTGTTTGGACAGGAGGAGGCCAGAGGGACTGTCTCCTGGTCAAGAGGGTTTGGCTGGTTCCTGGAAGAGAGCCAGTGAGTCGTTGAACTAACACTCATGAACTACACGTCAGGGATGGAAGTTACTGGTGATGCCAAGCATATGATTGTGGTCAAGGACTGACTTCAGAGAGAAAGTGCTCACTTGCCTTCATTCATTATACAGCTTATGAATTCCTCTTAGTGCTGAGTCTGTGCCAGGCACTGGGAGATGGTGAACAAGACCAAAGGAAAAGGAGTCTTTGCCCTCAAGGAGGTAGCCCCAACCTCCCACCCCCCAACACCCCCGAAAAAAAAAAAAAAAAAAAAAAAAAA